AACAGCCTCATTGACAGACGTCACAAATTGTTGCTTCAGTATGACGTCCTGGGGGGAGCGCCTCCAGGACCGCCAATGCCTGTCTTTGATGGCCATTGCCCGCGTGCACTCCGGGGTCCACCACTTTGGATCTGATGGCTTGGTGGTCATTGCCTTTGACGGAACGAACTGGGCGACGGCGTTGGATATCGTGGCAGTCACCTGCTGGCAAGAAGTGTCCGGGTCATCCGTTATGATGTCAGACCAGTTGGTATTCCTAAGGTGGGAGCGGAGACGGTTCCAATCTGCTTGGTTGTAGCGCCAAACAGTTCTGTGGGTGCGCTTCTCTTGCTGCACTCGAGCGGGGAATGTGGCAACAACTACAGCGTGATCTGATTTACCAACAGGAGGCAGCACATCTACCTCCACTGGCTCCTGGAAGTCGGACATTATCAGGTCAAGAGTGTTGTTTCCGCGGGTTGGTTCTGCCACATGCTGGGTGAGGCCATGCAGGGCACACATATCCTCAGCGGCTTCGCCGGCTAGAGACGTCCTGCTGCTCTGAAGCCAACTGCTGTTGTGCACGTTGAAGTCCCCGGCAATTACGAGCTTGGCGCCTTGCTGTCGCACTCGATCGATTGTGCTGTCAATATGTTCCAGGATTGAGATGTCATGATCTGCACATGAACCTGGCCGATAAGCGGCACACACTGTAACACGACACCCTGTTTGCAGTTGCACTGTAAGCCATATGACTTCCAGGTCACCGCAGGTTATCTGCTCCATGTGGCTATAGGCGAGGCCCGAACGTACCCAGACGGCGACTCCACCGCCTTGCGCTGTACGATCTCGGCGGATTGGGGGTGAATAGCCAGGTAGCGTGACATCCATTGCTGTACACTTCTCAGAGGTAAGCTTCGTCTCGGTGACGATTGCAATGTCCGGGCAGGTGGACATAACTGTGTGCTGAAACTCTCCAAATTTACTCAGCAGGTACACGCACCATTACATTCATTCACACAATGTCACATTCATCTGCCGCTACCTTTCTCACATACACTATATTCACACATTGCAAAGGTACCAACTTCGCTATTTGTACTTGCTGGCTGCTGTATTTCTACCTGAAACCATATAAGCTACATGTATATAAGTGTGTGTTTTAGTTATTACATTTTTATGTGACGGCGTTCCACTGATGACAGTCACAAGAAAAAGTTTTGGAACTTGACTTTCTTCTTTTTTTTGCTGTTGGTATGAGTGCACAATTTATCTAATTTATTGCCATTTTGCGACTGTTGTCTCCCCGTCGATTGTTTAAAATTACGTATATATATTATATATCTTCACTAGTTTGAGGGAAAGAGACAAACGGGAAAAAATATATAATATACTTGCTGTCTACAGCATTATACTTGCTGTCTACAGCATTGGGTATATTATTATATATATATATATATATAATAGCTTGCTGTCTACAGCATTGGGTACATATATATATATATATATATATATATATATATATATCTATATTTCATTTAGGAGAACAAAAACCTACAAATCATGTGGAAAGACAAAAAGTACATTGGACTGGGTACGCGCTATCAACAATGCCACACTGCCAGTTAACTGCTGTGCTGATGTTTCTATGTTATTTCCATACGATATACAGTGTAGTGAGGTTCTGCTCAACGTTATGTGTGACGCGAATAGTCCCGGACACTCTCTCCGCGTTCCCTTAACGAAAATGAAATCTGTTCTGCTCTACGTTCACGTAAAGAAATCACGTCGAATGTGTACTGGGAAATTCTCGTTCCATACTTGCCAGTTTTCTGACTGCATTTATTCTTCACTGGCTTTAATTAATGGAAGGACACGAACAGGAAAAGTCTGAAGAAAAAATTGACTGTCACCACCAGGACTCGAACCAGGGACCCTCGCTTGTAGCCAGTGATATTCTAGCCACTGAGCTACGGTGTAGGAGTCATCCCAGCAGAAACCGTTCAACAATTTCATTTACTCACTTTTACCATGGTCTTTGCTGCGCTTACCTTGAAACACTCGTTGTCTTTGAATCGTCTGGCCAATTTCGCCCTCATTACTGTCATTCCATATTCACCGCACATTTCGACGGCATTTTCCAGTGTAGATTGTCCAGGATGGATAGCAAAATTGTACTGATCCTCATCAGAGCAGATACGATCTTGGAGAACTGTACAGGGGGCAATCGATTAACACATTGATGGTGCCAACACTTGAAAAGAATAAATTTGGATTCTGCCATTCGTATATTCAAAACTTCATTGTCATTTTGCCTAGAAGATGCAATATGAAAGTGGATTATCATCAACATTGCTATTGCTATCTTCTCACAGCAGCACTGCAGTGCCCCATGTCTGACATAGTCCAATGTATTTTCAAAGTATCTGTAACGTGCGGAGTCCCAACATGTTACAGCCTATTTAGGCAAAATACACAAAATGAATATTTTCCGAAGTGTTCCAAAAAACTTCAACTCAAAGTTCTAGAAAGAAAAAAAGACGCAAAAACCCAAAAACCACAACCACAACAGCATATTAGACATCCTTAGCAAAAGTACGATAACGCTAACTTTTACGGTACTCACTCCCAGCCGTGACAAAAGACGTTATCGGATAACGGAAAAACGTTACAGAGCTCAAAATAACGGGCCGGCGTTCGTTATGGAAATTCTGCAAAAAAATGCAAAAACTCGCATTGTTTTGTAACTGGCGGGAGATAAAAAGCACGTCCTGCAGATCAAGATGAGATCGAGAGTCGAGATTGCTTCCTCTTGTGACATTTAGCTTTTTTGGTGAGTTTTGCCTTTCAGTTGACAATTTCTGAGTCCTCTGCTTCGTGCCTTTCACCCTCTTTCAACAAAGGACCAGTTCCACGGCACTCCTGAGGAAGAAATTCATCGGCCTCTCCCAGACGTGCTGGAGCTGGAGAACCCTTACAGGCTTCGGTGCTGCATTTAGGAAAGGGTTTCCAAGGACCTGGGAACAGCCAAAACTCATTTTCGGCGTGCTTTTGCTATTCCAGAGTAAAAGACCTCGCCAAGGTATTCTTTCAGAACGACAGCAAACTAATCCCTGGTTCAAAATTTGGAATTTCCCGCAACTGTTTCCACGAAAATTCATATCGCCATGGTTGTCACGACTACTTCGTCTCAACTATAATGTACTTTGTGCTAAGGGAAAAGTCAGCTTGAACGATCCGAAGTACGGAAAGATTTGCGTTTACGTTAGCGTTTTTTAGCTAAGGATGTCTAATAATGTATAGTATACCTACTTGTACTTAAAACATACAAACAATAGGAGGACAGACAAAGTGTTTTTACTCCGAGTTTCACGCACTAAGCGATCATCAGAAAACAATAATCTGGATCAGTATTGGTTTATATACTCACAAAGCGTTGTTTGAACCAGCTCTACCACTCGGCATTGAGCACTCTCCTGGACAGCCTGGAACCTCTCTGTTTTTTATACCTACTGAGGTAAACAGCAGCAAGTTCAACTTCAAGTCCATAATCCAGCGGAGTCCCAACATACCCTTACACATACACTGCTGACAACTGAAATCCGACTCCCTAATAGGCCATTCACACGACGTGTAAACATTTGCACATGTGTGACCAAGATAACACTGGCAAACCGTGATCCAGTTCACAGGGTGCTGGGCAAACTTTGCAACCGTCAATGTATCCATAGTGACCTCCTGAAAATGCCGGGAAATGTTCAATTTTGAATTTTCCCTTGTTCAAGCACTGCATTTGCAGTACGCACTTTCAACAACCGACACTTTTCCTGGGGTGCAAAGATAATCGCGAGCAAAAGGCCCTCGGCCAAGATAAAAAATCAGTTGCATGAGTGTGTCCAAGTTTATCGTATCCGAGTAAATATCCTTGGAAACAGTACGATAAAAGTAAGTTTGCCCGTCGTGTGAATGGCCTATAATAGGCCATTCACACGACGGGCAAACTTACTTTTATCGTACCGTTTCCAAGGATATTTACTCGGATACGATAAACTTGGACACACGCGAGCAACAGATTTTTTATCTTGGCCGAGGCCCTTTTGCTCGCGATTATCTTTGCACGCCAGGAAAAGTGTCGGTTGTTGAAAGACTTTTAAGTGCGTACTGCAAATGCAGTGCTTGAACAAAGGAAAATTCAAAATTTAACATTTCCCGGCATTTTCGGGGGGTCACTATGGATACATTGACGGTTGCAAAGTTTGCCCAGCACCGTGTGAACTGGATCACGGTTTGCCCGTGTTATCTTGGTCACACGCGTGCAAATGTTTGCACGTCGTGTGAATGGCCTATAAGCGGTGCGCTCACCTCGCAAAGACCTAACACGGGATGATAAAACTGCGAAACAGAGACCGCTAGAATGTGAATCCACCGCTCAGGGGTTGCCAGCACTGTAGTTCCCATCCAACTACTGGCGTGTGCACGGATTCAATTTCTAAATTGCTGTCGTCGTTCCTGAATAGAAGAAGAATAGCATTCTTTTTCACAGGCAGTTCTTCGGCTTTTGAACTGGACTGGGAACACAGTTATGTGCCTACCGTATTTCCCCGTAAGTTAGTACGTACTAACTTTCGAACTTAGCAGCCACATGAGTACTAATTTTCGGGGGTGGTACTATCTTTCAGGGAGTACTTTTTTATCGGGGGTAAATGACACGCAGTGGGAAGCCTGCGCAACTCTAGTGTTTGTGCATATGATGCATGTACTGTACAGTGTCTGTACATGTAGGACGGGTACGAACTTACTATCTTTCGGGGGAACTGTCTTTTGGGGTGATGACCTCGGCAGTGGAAAGTGCATTTTTTATAGGGGGTACTATCGGGGTGAACTAACTCACTTATACGGGGAAATACGGTATTGCTCTTCAGCTCTTCAATGCAACATAGCCATCATCTGGGCCGCGTCATTCTTTTTAGAGATGATTTGAATGCTAAGTTGTGGTGGCGTAAGGAACACAGCAGATGTACTTACATAATATGTAAGTACATCTGCTGTGTTCCTATTTCACACACGACATTTAGTAGGTGGTGGATGTTTTCGTAAAATCCGATGTTTACTGACCTCATCGGATAATTCAGATTTGATTTTTCATATATCCAGACCTTCTTGTCACCTGCGAGAATATCGGTTGCGCACCCACTTCTTAAAGCCTTTTGGCTCAAAAGCCTTCCTTTATGCTTGTTGCAAAGGGCCCTGGCGCTATAAAAATTGTACTTTTGGTCTGAGATTTTGAGGACTGCACCGGTTTCTTGACAGGTCTCATTTCCACTAAGTCCATTGTCTCCTGGAAAAGGGCAAACAGCAACAAAAAGAAAAGAAAAAAGGAACTTCAAAATAAATGCGAACGATAGAATTTGTTACAACTGCACTTGGACCTACCAGAGTAGGGGTTATCTCTCTCTCTCTCTCTCTCTCTCTCTCTCTCTCTCTCTCTCTCTCTCTCTCTCTCCCTCTCTCTCTCTCTTTCTCTCTCTCGCTCTTTCTCTCTTTCTCTCTTTCTCTTTCTCTCTCTCTCTCTCTCTCTCTCTCTCTCTCTCTCTCTCTTTCTCTCTCTTCCTCTCTCTTCCTCTCTCTCTCTCTTCTTTTGGCGCGCCTGGTTGTGATGAAGCCGAGACCCAAGGTCGGCAGACCATCGCAGACCACGCCACGACTCCCCTTATTCATGGCTCACACATGACGGGTTTACGTGGCTCTAGTAAAACAATATGCAAAAAAGGTCTTCAGCAAGTATTGTTTGGCTTACCAGGCAAGTGATGCATGGTAGCAAACTCCAGAGGAACTAGGGTGTACTCGTCTAGATTTTGAACTGTTCGAGTTAGGCCATTCACATTACTGCTGCTCCGGCATGGATGGTGTTGAATGAGCATGTTGGCATTACAATTATTATGTTTGTATGTGTTGTTGTATACTGTATTTATAGTGGAAAGCAAAACAGGCGTAATGCTTAATAACATTGGACCTACTGTGTTGATGAGTGCGAAAGCCCTTCTGATAATGCTAAACGTACTGCGGCCGCACACACTTCTAAAATCACTCTGCGCCTAGTCTTGAACGATTAGAAATAGGCGCGCATGTGCTAGGTGTCACTTACGCTTGCAAGATGGCACATAATTGACATTGCCGTTTGCTCCACAGATAGGCTTATAGCTGGGAAGATGCAAACTGTATCCTGCATTACACGTGTAGTTGACCCTTTCAGCGAAACTAGCCTCTGCTCTCCTACTTCCACCGTTAGGTATTGACGGCACTCTGCAGATCACCACTGCAGTGAAAAGCAACAGTTATATCATTCACAAACGGTATTTAAATACGTTTTATCACGTTCAACAATTTTTAAGTGCTCTGTCTCATCTGTAGCCTAAGTGACCTGTCATACACTGAACGATAGGATTGCTTGTTCTTTACCAGTAGAACCACCCAAGTCTGCGGACAGCTAGCGATTTCGGTCATCTAGGCCTCATCATTACAGCTACAGTATGAGCGTTAACTAAGTCGAATTACAGGCCGTGGAACAATGATTGCACCACAGGGTTAAGAAGAGATAGCTGGTCACTCTAGACCAGTAGTATAAGGGCAGCGACATACACCATCATGAAGGGAGGTAAACACCCGCCAAAGAATTAATTAACATACCTATAAACCTATTCGCCAATTTAATCACTTGGTTGTGATAGTTTTCACCTTTGTGACTTTGTGATGCTACTTATCCTTATGTTTCATTGGTTCTGGTCTAATGATGCCCGAAAATTGGTTCATGACTTCCGGACTCCACATCGATGACGATGGTGATGGAAAAGGTTCAAGTTTATAGTTTATCTATCCCTGATAAGCTTGCTGTCTTCGAGAAAGCTATTTTCTCGTTTCAGGATATTGATGTGTGACACGTATGGGACATGTCCAAGCACAGGGATACAAAGGACAATAGTGATAAAGACACGGGGACAGGGTCACAGCCTTGCACAAGCTTGGCAGAAGGAAGCACAGCATTTCATTTTCTGCAGGAACTTGAGTCCGAAGGTTTTACTCATCATCAGACATTTAATCATTAGAACTGTAAACTGTCTTGAATGGAGTCAGTGGTTTCACATCTATCACATGACTATACAGGACAGCCATGTTGGTTACAATTCCACTCTACTGCGGAATCGATGGGTCACGTGATGTCGGCCTTGTTGGTTCCACTGTCCACATGACATGATTACTTTCTGCACAAATTTAGTCACATGACCAAGCGGCGAGACTGCTCCATACTAGGGTATTTAGTATTAACTCACCTGAACAGTTGGGCAGGGAAGTGAGGTTTCCAGAGAGTGTACATGTTGGATTTGCATCTCCGTTGAGCACAAACCCGATTCCACATTTATATTGCACCCTTCCGGGATAGGATACAACTGCTGGCTCGACACCTGCGTAACGGACATTCGGCGCAATGCACGTGATAGCTGGGCAGTGCAATCAAAGATGTAGAAAAAGTTCACAGAGAATGAATAACTTGAACTTCTCAGTCGGTCTCGTTTGGACGTAGAGCAAAATGCCCCAGACAGAATGCAGTGGCTCAGCACTGTCGACATACGTATGACTAGGGTCCAGCGTATAATGCCGGCATTATATTCGGCATTTTAACACTATCCCAGCATCACAGCATTAGGGAGCATTAGAAAGGAACAAAACGAGCATTACGTGAGGTTTGAGCGGCACAACGAGTTTCATAGTGATATAATTATCGGGAATCTCCAGGTTTTTGGCAACAATCGGCTACACCCATGACCATAGGGTGCAACCAGACATGCATTTTACCAAGAGAGCATAAACAGTTTATGGACTGTTGATTGTACCGGCACATGACATGTAGCGATGTGGTCAGGTAATTGCCATGTATGAAGCATGCGCAACCGAGGCAGTTACGCAGATCCGTAGAAATCATTTTACGAGGTTTATTTTAGAATAGTGGAGAGCTAACTATGGAGCGGAGGTACGCGAAGTGATTATTAAACAGACGAAAAAGAGTTTCCTCGTTATGCCATTGGCTCTGACGATAGCGCCTCTAGCCATACTAACGTAGAGACTGATGCATTGCTAAATTTGGACCAGGATGAAGGAGCGGGGGGGGGGGGAACATAAAGAGCTCGTTCCAAAAGAACTGCCTTTGCCGGGTACAGCTGAGGAGGCTGGAAAAGAACTAGAATTTCTCATGGACCAAGTCGATTTGAGCGCTCAGCAGCGCGTCTCTTTACTTTGCGGGTGAAGCACGTACAATTAGTTGTGGACGGTTGTAATGCCAGGCCTACAGCCAACTGCTATCAGAACAAGAGTGTTGTGACAAACCATAATAATTATAATGTCTACAAACAATGTCAAGAAGAACATGAGAGCGCAAGAAAAGGATGTAGAGTGGCAATATATCTTGTGACCACTTGTTTTAGGATTTTCGCAAATGGGAGGGATCTCGATAAGAGATCGGTTCTCAGGAGCTGGCCTCAAGTCTGGTGTTTCACATGAAGACATTCTTCACAGAGTGGAAGCAGTTACAGATTGTCTGCAGGCAGGAATACTATTTGCCAAGATAAACTTCATCCCAACAATGAAAGACTACCTGCAACAATGGTTTCAACTCTCACTACAAGGATAATTAGGGAAAAGATTTGATACACCGACTATTCTTCCATAACCTTCCATTAAAGTTTGAATGGAGAGCAGCCAATGGAGAAGTGATCATGTCTTATAGTGCTAAGAAGTAGTAGAGCTCGTGAGACATAATGTGGCAGCTTCAGAGACAGACCAACGATATTCAGTGCTAATGACGAGATATCTTGCTCTGTAAAGTGTGCCTGAACGGCGGATGACGAGATATCTCGCTCCACGGCCCTCGCAATAGTTAGAAATGCATGTGTCGCTGTACAAACTGTCGTAACTCGTGTCAACGGCGGCCGATTTTCAAAAACGATATACTGTTGGAAAAGTATTGAGCTCAGATTTCCAGTGATATAAAGTTCCTTGCGATAGGACTAGATTTGAGTGAGCGATGATGAAAAGAATCGCAAAAAATCAAAAGTACGCTTTCTGGCCATCAGTTCAAACTTTTTGCTCGCGACTCGCTTTTTTTAGGGGATTTCCCTTTGCTACAGCGCATGCGTGTGGGGCATCAAACAAATCGCTTGGATCTCAGCTTTGCAGCGCAGTTTGAATCGTGAAGTTTGGTTTAGTTTGAGAAAGATGGCGAACGAAAATGTATTATGAAGTTGTTTAGCGATTCTGAGACATGTAAGGGCTTCTTCTAGAGCACATAGAAGTGATGCTGGCATGCCTATGGAGCTGAAAACTGCCAAAAGAGTCTTTGCTCGGCACAGGCCTTTCCAACAAGCCCAGATCGTGGAAATACATCAATAGATGCAAACATGGCGAAATATTTTGCTCGGCGACGTGCATGCAGGGTCTGAAATGAAGGCAAGTGCGCTGAAAGCTTAGCCGGCAGGGGGAAACTAGGCCAGCAGCGAAAGGGTTAACTTAATAATAATTATAATACCATGGCATTACATGTAACGTAAACCAGCAGTTAACTGTGCAAAAGACTCCACTTAAAACATCTGCATTTAAGGAATTTGTAAGGAAAACTAACTCTGAAGTAGGGACAAACTCGGCCATTTGAAAATAATCTAAACCGTCCACCTCTCCACAATGCGCTCTTGGCCCACATTCACAACACCAATCCATAGCGAGGACGTTCGCTAAAGGTGATAAAGAAACGCACAGTGCAGCTGAAACATGCATACAGATGGCCCTAGAATTTGGACAAGCTCGTGAAGCAGACAATCTTTTAGAAGTTCACACTAACGTTGAAAGCAGATACATGTACATGCATAATGATAGATTGAATTAACGGTCCCATAGGGACGTGACGACGAGATGAGAGAAACGGAGAAACGAAAGGCCAGACGACGCGACTGATACGCACCACAACTGGCTACGTGTGCGCCTACCACAACAAAAACAACTGGAGGAGTGGCAGCGGAGGAACCTCACACGGCAGGCGGGCAGTGCAGTGAATGCCCGACCGGCCTCTAGGGCTGTCGCATCGTCTGGCTTTCCGTTTCTCTCACTTCGCCGTAACGTCACTATGGGACCGTTACTTCAATCTATCCTCATGCATGTTCGTGCTTTCAGCGCTAGTGCGAACTTCTAATAAATATTATTGGCTGCTTCACGCGCTTGCCTAAATTCTAGCGCCATCTGTATGCATGTTGGAGCAGCACTGTGTGTTGCGTTATCATCGTTAGAACTTTTGGCACCTTCCACCTCTTTGGGTACGCCATTTTACCCTATAAATATACTTATTCCCTTATCGGCTATTCATTCGTTATCTACGTCCACTGAGGAGCTGTTAACGACTGAAACAGCTGTCCGGAAGAAATGGAACATCTACTCAAGAATGAACTTCCTCGCTGTGGAGAGGTGTTGTGAATGTGGGCCAAGAGAGCAGTGTGCAGAGGTGTTGTGAATGTGGGCCAAGAGCGCATTATGGAGAGGTGGACGGTTAGGATTAGAAAGAAAACTGCAGAAACAAATGCTGATGTCAAACACGTATTAGTACACTCCCTGTGTACTTACGGTTGCAAGCAGGAATGGTTGTGAGCTGTTTAGTAGCGTTGCAGGTTGGATTCGCTTCTCCAGTCATTTCATACCCTAGCAGGCATGTGTAGTTGGCAGTCTCTGTGTAAGACACAGTGGCTTGTTCTCGAACTGCGTGCAGAATCTCGGGTACTGTGCAGTTGATGGCTGGGCATCAGACAAAAACACATTAGACAACAGAAAGCGCAGCACGCACCAAAGTGATATCATAAAATCCAGCTCTATGGGAGTTCAGTAAAAAGAGGAAACCAGCATTCTTCGTGTGAATGTACTGAAAGGAGCTTTTTATGCAGAATGGTGTGACCCATACCATTCTTATCCCCATATACCCTAGCCCCGATTTTATTTACACTTCTTCAAGAACAATATCGAAGAGATTTGAAAATGAATCTGGAAGCAAAATGAGCAAAAAGTCGACAGATTTGCTGGACATATATTCGTTGTAGTTTTTTTTAGTTCAAACTTACGAGAACATGAGAGCGCCCGGTCTGTTCCGTCACTACACGGCGGTGCAGGGTGAGCATATATATAGCCAGATTCACACGTGACACTGCCCTCCGATGATATGCTGAGAATTCGATCAGCGGCAGTATGACTACAAGCTGGAGTAGAGCATAGACACAAATCACAGCGACGATGAACTATAGCGTGTGTTTGTTCACGTTTACCGGGATTCTCGCCAAGGAAACATAGGGATGCAATAGGACGATTGGAAGGAGGTATGGCGCAGACTACTATATTTTATTAGAATAATAACGCCTGACGACTATCCTTTGTTCCTGACTACATATTGTACAGGTACACGCTGTTATTGACCAGGTCGGCTTCACTTGTTTTTCATTACCTTGCAACTCCAATCCAGAGCACAAAAAAGTTGATGGCAGTAAGGGGTTTATTTCATTTGATTTCAGTGGATCACCTACTGGCAAACCCACCCGTCTGCACTTCAGGACGCTCGGTATTTTTTTACTATGTTCACATTCCCAGCTCTAATAAAGAAAGTCAATGGTAATGAGACTAGGACGAACGTGACAACTATTGAGCAGGGTTTGCACCGAAACGCAGCATTGATGGTTGGGTATAGATGGCTCTGCCGACCTGAGGTCTCGGCATCACGGCCAACAACACGCACCAAAAACCAAAGCATAGAGCTTCGCGAGCCAGCAAAGTGAAGAGAAAGGAAGGACTAACACCAGAGAGTGTGCGGGAGAAAGTGTGAGACTATTAATACAAGGGTTGTGACTGAGCGGAGCATCATCATGGCTGATCATGGCGAGTCGATTGTTCGAGCCAGTTGTGGTGTATAGATAGGGATAGAGGAGAGCAGCATCATAGCGAGTCGTATAAGATTTAACTGTTCTATTAGTTGTGTCAGGTTCACACTGGCACAAGGGAGGAAATATTTGGCTTAATCCAAAATTTGCTCAATGTTCGACGATATTAATTTTGACCATTTCAGATATTGACATTAAAACATTATAAAGTGTAGAATAACGAGGCATTACGGAGAAAAGAGTCATACATAGAACAAATGATGTCAAAATAACATTTTGTTCTTTTTATCACATTCTAAAAAAATGGTGAATTGAATTGTCTGAGAAAAGTCTGCAAAGTTTTTTCTGTCTTCTTCTTACTTACATTGACAGTGTGGCAATGAAGTGAGATGGCCTGTAGGAGTACAGCCCGGCCTTGGGTCTCCAACAAGTACTGAACCACTAGAACAGGTGTAGTGCGCCGTTTCTGGAAAGACAATAAGGCTCTTCTGCCTTGCTCCATTCTGAATTGCTGGCACTGAACAGTTCATCGCTGAACATTGGGAAGCACGCAGAGCGGATACAGAGAACCAGAACGGAATTTTTAATCTGCACTGCTGTTTCGCAGCGAATGATGCTAAATTTTTTAATACTTTTTTAGTTCTCTTATTTAGTTCTCTTGCTCCCCAACCCTCCCCGCTCTTTCTCTATCTATCTCTCTCTATCTCTCTCGCTCTCCTCTCTCTCTCTCTCTCTCTCTCTCTCTCTTTCTCTCTCACTCTCTCTCTCTCTCTCACACACACTCTCTCTCTTTCTCTCTCTATATATATATATCTCTCTCTCTCACTCTCTCTCTTTCTCTATCTCTCTCTCTCTCTCTCTCTCTCTCTCTCTCTCTCTCTCTCTTTCTGTCTAAGTTTCTCTCTCTGCTATTGGCGCGCCTGGTTGTGATGAAGCCGAGACCCAAGGTCGGCAGAGCATCCCAGACCACGCCACCACTCCCCTTATTCATGGCTCACACATGACGGGTTTACGTGGCTCTAGTAAAAAAAAAAAAAAAAAAAAAAAAGCAAAGATGTTGTTATCAGACAGCAAACCATAGAATTGTATGCTTTGTTTTGTATGTTAGTATGACTATCGCCTGTTGGTTTGTAGTCTTACGAAATCTACCGGTAGATCGTACATTTCTACATGCCGAACTGATGTTGGTAAAAGAGCGCCCAAACGCGGCATTGATCTACGAGCGCCCCTTAGCTAGGTTTCCTGTATGAGGCATTTAGCCACTACTTCATCATGATTCTTCGACCTCGTACCAGTCACAGAATCCCCTCGACCTCTCCATGGATTTGAAGTGCTTATTCAATGCCATGTTGTGTGAGGAAGTGAAGTGGCAGGTTTCGTGTCTGTTTTGATGATAATAATATTATGCTAATGATGGACCGGCTCAAAAATGGAGTTCCGGCATGTCTCCCTGTGACTCTAGGAGCCTGCTGGATGATGAGTAGGAAAGGTGCGAAGGCATCTTTCCAGTTCTTGTCCTGGCCTCCAGCGGCTGCCGCTCATTTTCCTTTCGCTAGGTGTGAAAAGGCATTCCACTTTTTTTCTTTTGAATCCCCAGTTTGGGTTTAGCCCCATTCATTCCACGACCGGAATCGGGATTGTATCGAACAAGCCGCTTTGGATTGGTGTCGGAGTGACACGGACTAAATGCACTCTATGAAGACGGAAACAAAGCGTTCTTTTCGCTAGCAGACTGTAGCCATCAAATTGACAATGTGCTGCCATATCAACCGAACTAACGCCTACCCTATTTTCGAACATGTACATGTTCAGATGTGTTCGGCTAAATCGTAAATGCCAAGACATTGCGATTCTCCACATGCAAGGCATGTTGATGGCGGAGTTGACAGCAATGTCAAAAACGTTGCACACGACATGCACTTTGCCAGATAAGTTGCGACAAAGTATCATCCATTCTCCAAATCTGGGCCAATAGGTGTTTCACAGTCTCACTTCATTCCTTTTGAACATTGTGATGTCGGTGACGTATATAGGTCAGAAATATGGTAGACATTGTTATAAGCCTAAGCTGAAGTGAATTCGGTGAAAACAATTTCAAGATATTTGCCGCTGGGTGCTTTGCCTGAGGCTGTGCCTCCGGTGGTTGCAGCACCCCTCCCTCCCCCTGACTCTCCCACGTCGAGGTATGTTTGGTGGGGAGTAGGTCCACCCTTGGCGGGAGACTTGGCCCACCGCATTTTAAAAGTCTCTATTTTTTTTATTTTACGTGTGCCACAACGTAGGTCTCTAGTTTTGACTGTTGCCGTACTTTTTCTGACTCATGTTTTCTGTTTTGTTTCGTGCTCGTCATGGTTATCTGTTGCAGTTAAAGGTTTTGGAAGCTATTTGTCAGCGTATTCATATGCCGAAATTGTGAGTCGAGAAAGATAGTACCATTTACCCTAAACTTGTTCAAATAATGTTTGTTGCTCAGTGTGGGAAATCTTTTGCTATTTGTGCCTAAATGTGTTCGGTCACTTTTTTTATTTTAGTAGAGGACCTGGAGACAACAATATTAAAATAGCAGGAAGGAGGATGAATTCCGCCGTCATCGCTACACATCATCGAGGTCATGAAGATTAGTTGTTATTGTTAATCATTCTCACATTTTTGTTGCTGATACAGCACAGAACAACAGGGACGTGATACTGATACACACATGCCACTCGTGGAGTCGTGGTTCTCATACCCTTTTTTTGTGCACATCGTTGTGAGAGATGTCACCCTTTGACAGTTTAGTGCTGCCATTGTAATGATAGTATCCAACTACTCTACCTTGATTGCCATATTATTTCCTTTTTTCTTATTCGTTCTTTCGAACAACGGTGATTCCTGAAGAGTGTTGTACGACAACCTGTTCCAATCGTCTTTTTCCGTCGATTTTTCCATCAAGTTTTCTTCTTCCTTTCAAGTACATGCATTTCTCCTTACCTATTATTGTTGTGGCATCGTCTTCATAACTTACAATGTTTAATAAAGTAATCCAGTATCACTTCAGCTCGTCCTCCTTGTTGGCCAATTATTTAAAATGTTGTCTCTCCGTCGAATATTTAAGTATTTGAAACAAATGTAGTGTTTCGTGCACACGTATCAATGTCACGGATTTGGCGAACAGGCTCTACCAGTTGGGCAGAAAGTCTCTCACACTCCATCTCTCAGTCTCTCTCGATTTCTCCCTGTTATTCCTCTCCCCCTCCCCCACCAATAGTGCTTTGTGTTTACGCCGCTTATAAGACCTATGGTCAGGGGAGTCAACCGCATCTCACCAGCGCAGCTCACCACAGCACTTAACCAGCTACACTCCCAAACCGCACCTCACGACCACACTTCACCAGCGTAGCTCCTGTAGGGCCTATCTAGGCATTGTTGTATTTCTGTTTTGTTCCCCTTTCGTCTGTAAGCATGTGCACTGTGATAAAAATAAAGTAGCATGTGCAAGCATGGGTATGCTAACGTACCAGCACTCCAGTAGTTTGCTTACATACATGTACGTGCAGGGGTGCGTGCATGTGTGTAGAGTAGAGTTACATCACAGCTATTGGATAATGAGAAAATAGGCCGGCCTCCCCTTGTCATAATTATAATGTGTCAGGTCACTACAGACATACATGTAACGCTTTCAAAGCTTGCTGAATCAGTGGTGTATAAAGACATAGAAACATTTTTTGAAGCTTGGGGAATCCTCAATGTACATTTGGCATTGATCTCTCTGAGACATTTTAGCTTTCATTTTAGCTTTTCCGAAAGCAAATACTCACGTATGCATTTTTGCACCGAACTGAGTGTGCCATCAGAAGTGCATCTTGTCCAACCTTCGCCAACCAACACATAATTCGGATTGCATCCAATGTATGCATATTGGAGAAAGGGGGTATTGGCCCTGTTTCTCCATCCATTCGTTATTAGTGGTACCTGGCAGATGCGTGCTGCACGTTGAAGAAGTAAATACAATTTATACGCGGATTAGTTGTGAAATACAGTAAAACCTCGTTAGGAAGAACACTGATAAGACAAATGTTTGCCCAAGAAGAACTAGTATTCGAAACTTTATAGGATAAAACCCTGTGTATTCATTGGGTAAAACATATGGATAAGAAGAACTCCCGTTATTGCGAACAAATATCATCGGTCCCTTGATGTTCGTCCTAAAGAGGTTTGACTGTACAACAAGTGGTTAAGCTGGTTGGTTGTGTTTATTTGAATTCCCAAACTGAACGGACTGAACATGTTCAATGAAAAGGAAGTGAATGAGGTCCAAGAACGCCAGGCATGGGAAAACTTGGTAAGAAGACAAAGGTGAAATGAAATGATGGAAAAAAAGGAAGCTCTTCCTCCGCGTCATCGAAATTGTCGCAGTTTGACTAGTGACTTGTCACTTGTTACTGACAACTCCATAAGCTAAGCCATTCAAAACTTATTACACAGTATAATAGTCTGAAGACTAGTGTAACGTTCCAGGACAGTTGGACTGAGAGTTTTCATGCAGAGATGAAGTCCTCGTCGTCGCTGATGTCAATGGACGCAAAAATGTCGTTCTGAAATATTTCAAGGAAGGTTGAAAGTTGGTCGCGCCTCATCTCAAACGCTTTGACTTTCTCCACAGGACAAGAGCTGCTATGCTTGTCGTCTGCTAGCTCTGGATAATTTCTACTTCACCACCAACGAAGCCTAGTAAGAATACACGATCGTTGCGAGGTCGGTTGATTACCGTCGGCGGAATCACCTCGATCTTGAAATGAACTTTTTTTAGCGGTGGCATGCCCATTTATTTTAGCTGTGTGGTCACAGCTCATGCAGATAAGTGTACTATCACGTCCAGAGCGCCCTCTTTTTCAGCATCACTGGTATACCATGGCCCGCTACGGCACCTGCGCGTGCATCACTAGCACTACGTGTAGAGTCTACACGGCTCTGGCAGGTACAATCATGTACTGAGTGTCTCAGCCAGAGCGACACATTTTATCGCTGTTGCAAGCATTTAGTTTGCTGACCCCTCGATGTTTCTCCAAGCGCTGCCACTTGCTCCACGAAATGATTCTCACCCCAGCTAAGGTAAAACAGTGATGAGGCTTGAGTGAATGGCCATCAGCACGAGAAATGTGCAGGCTGCAACGCCTGACTGATCCCAGCGAGTCGAAATTACCATCGCAGCGACATCAGCGAAGAAATTGCGTCTAGTTCAAAAATTCCAGCTTCCAATAACAGAAAATAGACCTTTGCCGTCATCCTATACTGATGACTATCGCCTATGTCGAATTCCTTGCCTCTGGTACGAGTGCTGGAGAATAAATACCCCGTTTTATATCAAAAGTCAAACTGCGACAATTTCGATGACGCGGGGGAAGTAGTAGTCCTCGACCAAATATGCTTGCGCATATTTCCGCATATTTTTGTGGGCCAGTTCATAATGGCATATTGAGCGACAAAGGGAATATTGGAATGAAGGCAGCATATAATTCAAATATTCTGAAGAAAATGAGGATAAAACATTCATATTATGGACAAAATGCGTTCAGAAATGTCTTTTATGGATGAATTTGGAATGGTTGAAGCGTTTGCTACATTTAACCATGGATGAACACTATAGCTACGGTTGCTGGGGACACACCCCAGCCATACTATTCCGCATGTGTTTTGATTTGCACCATAAGCATGATAGCCTGGTGAAGCCAATCAATATTCCAAGGTTGTAATTTTACTGAAATGATCTACACTTTCTGCTTATGTCGAGCATATTTTGGCATATCTTTTGCATATCTTTTGCATATCTTGGTAAGCCTTTGGCATATTATGGACGTTTTCCCTGATATGCGACGAGCATAATAATATTATTTATTATGCTCTTTTTTTTAGCATAATTGGTCGAGGCCTAGCTCTTAGCAAAAAAAAGAAAAAAAGAAAAAGAGAACATAAATCGTGGTCAGGGCGAGACGAAAGCTCTTAGGAGAAGGAAAAAAAAGAATGGATAAACGAGAAAAGTAGGGAATAAATCGCGGTCAGGCCCAATGCCTGAGCAGCGGCAAGACACAGTAGACATTATACAAGTAGTTACACACCACATTAACAGGAACAAGCATACAAGAAGCATGGGCGATGTCGGCCCAGAAGCGGGCGACTTGGGTTTGAGAAGAAAACACGAGCTTGGAGCGGAATGAATTTGGAAAAGACAAGTGACATCACTAGTAAAAAGGCCAACACCTAATAGTCGGATACATCCGCCTGAGTGTACAGTGCAGTGCATCGTTATGGTGACTTCAAACTTCCGTTATTCCGTGAGGCATTGTCTGATTCGACAATTGAGGGATTTTCCTATACAGAAACGAGCTGTCAGCTGTCGGCTCGGGAAATCTGTCAGCTGTCGGCTCAAGAAAACCTGAAGACGATCTGAGGCACTGAAGAATATGACGCTCGACCGAAATTTGCTGGCGCAAGTCAGCTCTTTCCGCAATAAATTTGAAACACAAGCAAGGGGCTGACTCGCTCCCCACGCATGCACGCATGCACACATTGCAAAACTTAATATGTTATTTTGAACAGAAAGTTCTCAGCTTTCGCCTGCAAAAGAGAAACAGGATCGTTCTGTGAACGAAATTGTTGAAATGTCTGAGACTTTAGTACCACGCTCACAGGTTTGGCACTATAACACTCGAAGAAATATATAATAATAGAACAGTTCGTGTACAAGTACAGGACAGCAAGGTAGTGCTAACCATTCCGCTTTTGTCTATTTTGAGCTCTGATACATGTGATGGTTGATTGTCCACGTTAATAAAAAAGGAAAGCGGAAAAAACGAGAGAAGTGAAAGTGCACAACCGGACAGAGGTATGTATGCAGATGGGTGTATGTGGATAGGTGCATGCGTGTGCTTGTGTTCTTGTATGCTTGTGGGGAAATGTGCACACGCGTGTTGGGCAAAGGACGGCAAGCACCAATAGCTACTGAACCGCGAAAATGCAGCAGTTACTGCTCGAATGTTAGGAAGGGAGAGAACATCAGTAGTTGCTGAGCGGAAAAAAGGCAGCAGCTACTGCTTGAAAATGGGTCATCCTGCTAAATTAATACCTGCCAGGCATTCTCCATGGGGTGAGCGATATCATCACCCTCGCCCAAGTAGGCCCCAAATTGTTTCCAATTTTTCCATTTTCGGTTTGAACCCTGGCATTGGAGCGCTTATAATACGCTGCGGCGTTCCTCCTGCGACTCTGTCAGTTGGAAACTGGGATGGATGTGTTCGTTTTACTGAGAGCCCAAATTTGTTAGAATCCTCCAAACAACATGAAAATCACAGTCAGTTGAATATGTGAAATTCTGAGTACCATGCGTCTGATGTAATGGATTAAGCTGTAAAGAGTTGAAAGAACTGTGCAGTGAACCACCAATCAATGCCCAATGGACAATTCAGTGTGCCAGCTGCATTGCCATGCATAGACTTACCCTGGCAAGCCCGAGCCACTGTGTTCAAGACGTAGCCTGGTATGCATTCGCACCTTCCATTCACTTCGCGGACAGTGTCCATGTCGTTTTGATTCCATGCGCATGTCCGAAACCCTGCAATTTGACAGGTTGAAAGATGGAACCAAATAGAAATCAGCGAACCCAACTAACTTGATTCTGATCCCCTTACAGACCACGCATGCACTATGAGGGATCTCAAAATCACTCATGCAGCGTTTGACTACGGGTAAACACAGCTCTCCCATATAAGCAGCATGCCTGTACCAACCATAACAAATCTGTCCCAGGGGTATAACATTTGTTGACGCTCCGCTTCGAGTTTGAAAAAACGCAGTACCCAGCCTCAGTTAGTAGCACAAAGCTTATACCACTAATGCAGTAGTATACTATAAGCAGCAGCAGCAGAGTAGTTCCTGGAAACTATTTCTAGGGATTTTATTTTATTTTATCGCCTCCATTTTATCCAGCCTAAGGGCCGTCGACAGATTATTGCGGGGACAAAGGGCGCCTCTTGCGCAAAGTTGCGAAACAAATGCCATGAATTTGCCTTCACCCAAAGTAGAGTCCTCTCCAATTTTCCGCTTTCCCCTCCTACCTTGTACACTAACTATCATGACATGGATCATATTCTGGTAAAAAATGAGAATAATGCATCTGCCCCATCTAAAATATTGCGAATATCCCGAAGGAACAACTGATTGCGTGCGTTCGAGGTTGTTTGGTGCACCACATTTTCTACAATCTACCAACTTTGCCAGAGAACAAAGTTTCATGAAGGAAATCTTTCCGGAGTGTTGGAGGTTGATTCTCTGGTATGACTCCATAGCTTTATCACCACCATTATCCGCTTGCTCCCTCGACTCGGATCCTGTATCAGACTCATCGGGAAGCTGGGGCAATATAATAACTATGTCACCCAGAAATTTAAGAAAATCAAGTGAAATGCTTTATCCGCAGAGACACTATGCCTGCCGGACATGGCTTCCGCCAGACCAACCTAAACTCAAAGAACGTTCCAATAATATTATAACTGCACCGGCACTTCATATCGTTCTATGGTGCAGATGATAATTATAGTGGATCGCTTTCCAAACTTCGGGCAAACAAATTAATTTTGTCGGTTTCGACAAGATTCAGGATTACGATAATGTCCATAAAAAAATATAAAGAAAGTAAATTATCGTGTCCGTTCCCGAAGGGAATTCACGACGGCTGCTAACACCCGATAAACCCTAGCGGCAGATGCAGCGCCTAACTGTGGGGGTGAGTGGATAATTCTAACAACCACTGGCACAAGTGCCGAAAACGACCCCATTAGCTGCATCCATGTACCCCTTGTGCCTGGCCACAAGTTCCCATAATGTCCATAAGCACAGGTGAAATATGCATAGTAGCATTTCTATATGTACAAATTACCACCTTCATGGTCCCCCATATCTTTGCTCCCAAACGTATTCCTCTTTACGTTATTCACGTGTGGCTCTAAGGCAGATTCGACCTCTTATTGATACCTGTAGGATGTGGAGTCATGTGATGCCGAGCGGTAGTTTTAGTAAATCTGGAGCAGTATTGGTTTATTAAATTATTTTTTTATCTAAAGGATCTCCCTCAGGCGATGGCCTGTCGAGGGGATCTCCTGATGCAAATCATGCAATAGAAATAAACAGTGAGGAAAACTACACGTGTTACAGTATATGCTACTTTATATACCCACAAAGCAAAGTGTACATGGCAGCATCATGGCGCAAATCTAAAAGTTGTGAATAGCGGCAGTGCAAAGCGTAAATGATTGCATCATGGGGCAAATGCTTTGTGGGTATATAAACCAATACTGATCCAGATTTAATCATTTCTGTTGTCTAATGATCGCTTAGTGCATGAAACTCAGAGTTAAAACACTTTCTCTGTCCTCTTATTGTTTGAACCAGCTCTGCCTCTCGGTATTGAGCACTCTCTTGGACAGCCTGGAACCTCTCTGTTTTACATTAAGTGATTATCAAGGAACTGATGCTACTAGTGGACATTGGAGCGTGACTTGTAATTCCTTCGCCATTTTCTTTCCTATGATGTACCAATTGGCAATCGGCTGAAGGCTTATAATGCATTTGAGGAGAATCTCCGACACATTGCCATAGTGGGTGAACGAGATCCAACCAGGGATCAGAGTAACAAGCCAGAGCAAAATTCGAAAAACCAATGATTTTTGATCACTACAGATATTGACTCCATAATACAAGATTCATACCAACATGATTTTCCAACACTGCATTCCCCAAACTCAAACTTACATTTTGGAGCACAAAATAGGCCTCCTAGACTCGATGGCATACGATCTTCAAACTCCAGTGCTCGAGTCACAATCTCAGTTGTACACGACGCGAAGTTTCGGACTATGTAACCAGGCGCGCAGACAGGTCTTATGTAATATCTCAGCGAGTGAAAATACCTATAAATAGTATCAGAGACGACCAGATCGTTTATGGCAGGAAGGTGACCACTTCCATCCCAAAAATCACCACGATGCTCACGATCGTCGAAGCAAATGTTCATGGTTGGCGGTTTGGTAAACCAAGGTCCTAGTAAAATAAGAATAAATAATAGCATAGAAATATCGAAACAAGGTACACAGTCATAAAGCGTGAACATAGGCACAACACAATGAACAGTCCTAGACAGTTGGACAGATGCTTCAGAGCTCGTGACCATGATTGCGTTCGCTTCTACAATACCATTTCATTGGTTCATTATAGGAGTTATTCCTTATCAGATGGGAAAATGGGTAGATATACCACGGTAAGTTTCTGAAGCGTACTACCAGAGGTGAATGAAAGTTATTGTTAACGCAAGTTGCGCATTCAAAACACTTTCATTCACATAGGTTTTTTCGCTTGAAAGAGTTCAGTGCCATCTCTTCTAAAGGAATTTACTAGAAAAGGCAACTCAAAGTCAGAAAGTCAGAGCAATGACGTGCAAGTCGTCAAGTGATGGATACCCGAGAATTTTGTATCCACAGATTGAGTATTACGCTCCTGCTCTTGAGTACTCTCATTCGGGGTAGTGCCTTTGCTGTTTGCGTTATGCAGAGCTCACTTACTTGTCAGTTTGAGTACTCGGGCAAGGTAGGTTCCGGCCTGGTTTAAAATAATCTTGTTTTTGGAAAATCAATTTTTCATTGCTAATAGGTTCGGCTCATTTTCTCTGTGCCGCACTGATGTCTCCACAAAGGACGAAACAGTTCTGTCCGCAGATAGAGTAAATGTGATATAATTATATACATATCGGAATTCTCAGTTTGAGCATTCCGGCAAGGTACGTTCGGGGCTGGTATAAAATCTGACTTTGGAAAATTTATTTTTCATTGCTATCATTGCTATCAGATGCGCAGGTCATTGCTATCAGCATGCGGGTCATTGCTATCAGGTTCGCAGGTCTTCTCTGTGCTGCGTTCATGAGTCAACAAAGGACGAAACAGTACTGTCCGCACATTGAGTATTACGTACCGTAAGGGCGCGCTCACACTGCGACCAAAACCAGCGTCCACGCGGCCATGCGGCCGAGTTGCATGGCAACGGCATGTCCCCACTTGACCAAAACGTCGCGACGACGTTTCAAATCTTGACCGCGACCTCCGGAGGGGGTGCCACGACTTGGTGGCAACATGAGCGTAGACGTGAAGCGTATTTGTGTACAACCTGGCCTGAAGTATGTTCAATTTTTCAAATTCTGGTGTGTTGATTTATGAAACTCGGCGGTTGTCGATGTCATCCTCGACATTTGCACATTTTTAAAATGGTGTAGTTGAGGTCCTGCACGCACGCACCGCCATATATGCATTCTTTGGCCTTTTTGGACGATGTCGATTTTGATTTTTGTTTTTGTAGTTGCTTGGTTGTCAGTTGATCGGGTAAGTGACCCAATAGATGATATGCCAAATAACGTGCAACTAGACTTGAGAGGGCATTGCAGAGTAGTTGCATACAAAGTTCAAAGTTGTACGGTTACCTGTGACTTGCATTCCTGCAGAGCTCAGGGCCTGCCATGTACACCTTGTAGTATAATTTGTATGCAACTTGTGTGCGATGCCCTCTCAAGTCTTGTTGCACGTTATTTGGCATATCATCTATTCTACAGTGTACTCGTTCAATACAATGGCAGCTAAGTCTGGCTTTTCGGTTTGGGAAATCATCTTTATCTACTTTTCTGCGATGATGGAATGCCATACCTCAAGACATTTCAGTTACATATCATCGGAAAATACAGTTCTCGTCTCGGCAACAGACGAAAGAAACTACTAGCGGAATTTCCACTGCACTGGCACTTGCTCTGACCACGAGGTCTGAAAAGCGAAAGCGCGTGGATGTCAGCGGCAGTCCCTCAAAGATTCCAAACCTACCTGATTGTATGAATTATTTTCGTCGACTTCAAGAGAATACGAGCTACGAGGCACTTCCTCCAACATGCAACATGCGAAAAATTACATCCAAAACGGGCCACAACTTTATTAGGAAACGCACTAACTCTTTTGGATACGAGCTGCAATTCGTAACGTTTGTGTGACAACTTCACGTCTACGCGTGTACGAGGCCTAGTGTGAGCACGACTGCCACGTTTCTGCGTTTTGACGACGCATGGACGCGTGCTCATGGTCGCAGTGTGAGCGCCCACCCCATTTTTGCAAGATCTGGTAGCCTGTACACACTGACCCCATGCAAGATCTGCTGGCCTGTACACACTGACCCCATGCACTGGCACCCCTACTGTATGAAAGTGCGTCTCACACCATAGAGTGAAGAGCGCGTTGCTACGGTAAACTATGTCCACTTTCTTGGTTTCTAAATCTCTTTATGCACTAGCCACAAGCTACCAGTAGCTCGTAGTGATTTTATGATGATGGTTGTTTTATTTCGCAAATCCAAACGGGAGTTTCTTCCGAGTAACAAGGTAGCGAAGAACAGAGTATTGCAGGAACCAAATACACTTCTGACGGTGTTTCAAGCCTTCATTTCCAAATCACACAACGCTCAGAGGCAAGTGTTTTTTCTCGAGCACTTCAGAGTTTTCATAAAGTTATCAGCGACTTTGTAGGTTTAGCTTCTGTGACATACCCTGTTCGACTTGCAACTGCAATACTGAGACCAGTCAAGTTGTTGAATGACGCTTCCTCAGAACAATCACTGTTCCGCTCTGAGAGCGCGACATTGTGGCACTGCAGACATGTCATGAAAACCAGATGGACTCTACGGCATTACCACATGGAGAGCGAACTACCACAAAGACGACTCATTTATCGAATGAAAGAAATCTCGACAGAAGTTTTTCTTTGCAGCAAGATGATGACAATCGCTTTTGCAGAGCCTCCTGGTAAAACATAGGCAGTTTGTAGGCATTACAACAGTTTTCGTACGCATTCGACCTTCATGCCAGTTTTCTACAACTATATTGACCTTAAAAACACGAAAATAGTATGGACCCGCTGGGGTGGGCCTTTGCTACGAAGTGGGCGTTTACAGCGGACTTTACGGTATAAATTAAAAATGCAGTTTGGTGCACTGATAGAAGTTACATTGGGAACAGCCAGACGTGGAAACAAAAGCTACTAGGGACGTTCTGCTCTACGTTTTGGGAACGCGACGCAAAGAATCACGCGAACTTTCTTCGCGTTCCCGTAACGTAAAGAAATGCTGTTCTGCTCTACGTTTCACCTAGAGAAGTCACGTGGAATGTGTACTGGGAATTTTCCCTTCCATATTTGGCAGTTTTCTGCATGCAGTTGATCGATACCCAGCAAATCCGTACGCATTTTCTCTGCGTGTGCCACAACGTAGAGAACCCCATCTCCGCGTGGAAATCTGGAGCCAAAACACGTGAAGCCGTAGACTCTAACCCAGACACCTGCTCTCTACGTGATTTCTCTACGTTTCACGTATAGCAGAACCTCCCTAGTATTACTGTTAAGTCCGGAGCAAACGCCCACTTCGCAGCAAACGCCCACTTCGCAGCAAACGCCCACTTCGCAGCAAACGCCCACTTCGCAGCAAACGCCCACCCCATGGGCCCAGGGGGTCCATACTATTTTCGTCTTTTTCAGGTCAATATAGTTGTAAACAACTGGCATGAAGGTCGAATGCGTACGAGAACGACTGTAATGCCTACAAACTGCCTATGTCCTACCAGGAAACTGTGAAAAAGCGATTGTCATTATCTTCCTGCAAAGAAATAACTTCTGTCGAGATTTCCTTTCATTCGATAAATGTGTCGTCTTTGTGGTAGTTCGTTCTCCATGTGGTACGAGTAATGCCCTAGAAATTTGTGCAGTGCCACGATGTCGCGCTGTCAGGAACAGCAATTGTTCTGATGAAGCGTCAGTCAACGACTTGACTGGTCCCAATATTGCAGTTGCAAGTCGAACAGGGTATGTCACAGAAGCTACACCTACAAAGTCGCTCCTAACTTGTTGAAAACTCTGAAGAGCGCCTGATCTCCGTTCCGAGCCCAGCCACCTTCAGTTCTGTGCCCTGCTAAAAGCGCATCATGGCTCCGTTTAAATGCTTTTCGGCTAGTGTGTTTCTGTGGTATAGCGGACTGAAGAATAGTAAACGTGTTTTGCAATATATGTATGAAGCTATTTTGTATATAGTATGTTCCCATTCCGTTTTTGCTTTGGTGTAGCCCTGAGGTTGATTGCTTATTTATTTCTACCCTTCCTCTCTCCATACTTCTGCCCCCCCCCCTCTCTCTCATTCCTTCTGTCGTCCACATGTATCAAAGGAGGCGAAATCGCCTGTTTGTGGTGCGACGTTAAATAAACTTCTACAACAACAACAACAAGTGCCCAAGAAAAACACTTGCCTTTGGGCGTTGTGTGATCTCGAAATGTTGGCTTGAAACACCGTCAGAATTTTGGTTCCTTCAATACTCTGTTCTTCTCTACCTTGTTTTTCGGAAGAAACCCCGTTCGGATTTGCGAAATAAAACAACCATCATTATAAAATCGCTACGAGCTAGCTCGTGGCTAGTGCCCAAATATATTTTGAAACCAGGAAAGTGGACATAGTTTACCGTAGCAAAGTGCTCTTCCCGCTACAGTGCGAGATGCACTTTCGTACAGTGCATGGGGTCAGTGTGTACAGGCCAGCAGATCTTGCAAAAATGGGGTGGGCGTTTGCAGCGGACTTTACGGTACTAGTGAAAAACATTTGCAATCACCAGCAAAGAGATTCATTCATTAACAGCAGGTGCAAAATACAACATTGAGAACTACTGACCTAAATTGAGAACTAACGTTAACATTAACAAATTCTTCATTATCGACCGCCCCACACACTTGTGTGAGTGAGACATCTCTTCTCCAACAAGAGGACTCGTCTCACACGACAGGTGAACACTTCCGAAATTACGTACCTCCTAAAAGTGGGCCGACGGAGCAACTCAAAACGAAACATTTTGGTTTTGAGTCTACTGGTGATGCAAAACAGAGCACCGCGACGAGGGCAAGGGCAACCTGGAAATGATACCACCAAGCACACAGCACGCACATACACATACATTATTATTACAAATTTTGAATAGGGCAATCCCAACAGGCCTAGGGCCTTCTTACAGAGTGCCCTATAAACATACACTCACTCACGCACACACACACACACACATACACACACACATACATACACACACACAAACATACACACACACAAACATACACACACAAATACACCTGGGCACACACACATACACACACACTCACTGCCAAATTAATCTTGGTGCCAAAATCAGTGCCAAATCAGCTCTATTGGGTACAATGCAACCGTCCAATGTGACAGGAGAGGACAGACAGAAGGTGTTTATCTGTCTTGCAGAGCCACAAGAGACACTGCAACCATCTAACATCATTCAGACGCGAGAGACATGAGAAGAGAACGTGACTATCAAAGTGTGTCTTGAACCTGAAGCGTATAAAAGGCGAGTACAGTCTTGGTTGGTCAGTTGTCACCCAGGATCCAGGGAACAGTAAAACACAATCAAGCGCTGTCCTCTGTGCCTAATAATAGAGGAGCTAGAGATTATTCAAGCGAACAAGCGTGTCAACATCAAGAAAGGATCAGAGCTAGTCAGCAAGAAAAATATCATTCACAAGAAATATAAATGCATTCAATATACATGTATAAACCTTACTTTACACCGAGAAAAATTAACTTAGAAGTTGCGACTTCGGCGGTAATAGTCATGAAGTTGGTTGCTCCAACGAGGAGCACACGCTTCTTGCCTAACTTTACACTTGACTGACTCACGACTGCCGTCCGGAGCACACGAGGAGCACGTCGAACCTTCTGCTCGGCAAACCTGAAAGAAAGCACCACTCCCTGGTTTGCCGAGCAGAAGGTTCGACGTGCTCCTCGTGTGCTCCGGACGGCAGTCGTGAGTCAGTCAAGTGTCAAGTTCGGCAAGAAGCGTGTGCTCCTCGTTGGAGCAACCAACTTTACGAGAAAAACGATATTATTTTATGCATGCTGTTGACATTTGAGCACAGCAAAAATAACAAAGAGCTATGAAGTTCATCATTATCTAGATTCCGTAATGATATCTTTTCTTCGTTAAATTAAGCGTTTAGCTCTTACCGGACCAAAATCCATTGCGACGACAGTTTTCTGACTTGGTGGATGCTTGACCTACTTCTAGTTGTTCCTTCCGAAAATGAGAAAGATTTCAGATCTGTGTTGGGATTTTATACTTCTGGCGAGGTTCGCAAACAGAAGAGGGCAGAGCCCGCCTCCAAGGGGCCTTTGTTGATCATATTTGGAGTACATATGTTACACTCAGTATATGGTCACGTCTCTATATATGGTCACAGCTCTATATATGGTCACTACATCTCTGTACAGTGTACAGGCGACATGGTGCACCACTAGCGCTGTACATGGTCACAGATGGTACACAGTGTGGTATATGCAAGCCTTGCTTTCACAGATGGCGCTGCAGGGATCCATACCTACCAACTCGGCCATATAGGGCTTCCACGGATCCTTACCTCCTACGTCGGCCATACAGGGCTTCCTGGTATAAACTTGGTCACCATGAAATGCGCGGGCTTTTTGATTTGTTGCCGTTTTCAGCTCCACTGAATTTCTTTCTTGTTGTTATCGTCAAGGCAATGTAACAGATGGTGGTGCAATATGAACCAGTGATCCCTACGCAGGGCTCGCTGGTATGAACCGGATCATCATGAATGGCGTGGCGTTTTTGATTTGTTCTTGTTTACAGTTTGACTGATTTCCTTTCTTGGTGTCTGAGCTTGTTTTACTTGCAGGTACTAGGTTATGAAACCAAACCAGTTATTTATTATCCCCTACTGTATTTTTGCCGTATTCCATTTCAAGGTTGATCTGTTTGTAGAATGTAGGTTGAAGATGGAAAAAGAAGCACAAGGTATTAGAGTTGGAAAGTCCACAGGAAGTGTTTCAAAAACTAAAGATAGAAACGCGGAGTTATTTTGGGTTTCCTTTCAGGAAATAACTACAGTGTATTTGGCCAAAGCACAGAACCCCAAGTGGGGTAAGAGGAAAATTGCGGAGCACGTTAATGCAAGTAAGAATGTTCACGTCGAAGAGAGGAGAGTACAGCAACATCTGGATAAATTTCTCTACGACGAAAAAGAGAAAAAAATTGTATGTCAAGTCTACAGAGCTGAATGTGTGCCATCGTGAATGTGTCTCAAGGGAGTAACTCATTGCTTTGATCGTGAGTGACTGTTCAGGACTCACCTTCACTACTATGCAATATTTGCCATTATGCCAGATTACGCGAGGTCCCAAATCTCTTTTTCTCTGGCCTTGCCTTCCGCCCACACTAATGCTGGTTTTTCTCGTCTTGGCTACATAGGTTCTGATCGGTGGAATATGCTGCCTTCCACTGTTCGCTCTTGTACAGATTATCGCCCATTTGTTCGTTCATGCTTAACCTTTCTAGGGGCTCCCGTAAGAAGACCATAGGTCTGTGGGAAACACCCTAGTAAAATAAATAAAATAATAATAATAATAATAACGCTGGCACTTGCAGTGCACTAATTTAGAAAAGCGATCCTGTCAGCTTTTCTATTATTGTGTTCACATGGCAGAAAAAACGACACCGCTATGCTACGTAAGTTTCTACGTAAGGTGCTCGGTACTTCACTTAGGCTACGTAAGTTTCTACGTAAGGTGCTCGGTATTAGATCTACCAACGGGTGGTAGCCGCGTGCTGTGCACGTGCACGGCAGACATTGTGTTGCATGCCGTGCAGTCCGTTTTCGGATGTTCATGCGCGAGGAACTTCCTTCTTTGGAACTGCTTCTTGCATGAGCTGTTTCGGATATTTCGTGTCCTGGCTTATTTCGCTTCGGCTCTGCTGAGACCTCTTTTCACGGAATATTACTCAATGACAGGTGAGTTGACCAGTTCCCTTTGATTCATTTGCTTGTGTTGACTCTTTCATTTACGAAAAGTGTGCTGATTTTAGGTGGAATACAATAAAATAATAATGGAAAAGCTGACAGGATCTCTTTTCTAAATTTAGCTTTTCTGCTGTCGAGGCCTCCTTTTACGGAATACTCAATGACAGGTGATCTCTGAGTTGACCAGTTTCCTTCGATTCATTTGCTTATGCTCACCCTTTCATTTACGGAAACGTGTGCTGATTTTATTCGGATTTAATAGATCCATTCGTATCTCTTTGCCCTTGCCAACAGTGTGCGAAGAACGCGAGTTCACCTTCTTGACGGTAAGGCTTAGATGTGTTGTCGAAATACTCATGTTCATTGTACATTGGTACGTTACAAGTAAGGCACTGGTCATGATTGCTTCCGGCATTCCGTGCTCCGATCATGGGGTAGAATCTGAATTTTGCAGTGGCATAGCATCGTTGGCAGTTCCCAATCTGGAGGCGAAGGTTCAAGGACGCATTAACCGAGTACTAGTATGCAAAATAAATTCGCATATCAGGGAAAATCTCCATTATGGAGAGGTTCATGCATTCAGTGACTTGTTTGCTTCATACGAAACAAGCCAATGGGTGCAGTCTCGTGAAAATCTCGTACGATTGGATTTGTTTACTCGAGTCTGGGCTGTTTGATTTGTGAGTACCGCCGAGATTGCACTGCCCCAAATAAAGTTGCGTGCCGGTAGAGCAAGAATTACGATCTGCAATCTGTTTGTTGTACCTGCAAGAATGTGCTGTACATGTATCGTATTTTCTCTGTTGTTGTTTCAGTTGCCGTCATGTTGCTAAAGAAAGGTTCAGTGACTCATTTGTTTCATAAAAGACGAGTCAATGGTTTGGTCTGGCTTAGAATCTTTCGCTGTAGAAGAAATCTATTCGTGTCTCTATTGCAGTATTGGAGAAATAATTGTATTCACTCGTTATAAAAATAGGGTTAATACAAAGCAAATGCCATCGGTCCCTTGATGTTCGTCCTAAAGAGGTTTGACTGGATATCATTCATACTCCCCCAAAGTCGTGTAACATGTTATTATTATGGAGTGCCTTGTTTATCTCTCAGTACCTCCAACCATATATCCTTGCCCCTTATATCCTCAGGATCAGTGTAGTTGTTGGAACGAGGTGTCGGACTCAGCAATGTATTTACATTTTAATACATGTTTATAGTTCCTAATTTGCTGTGTTGTTTTAGATAATCGTGGACTTATAACACTTTGAAGTCATTGAACTGCTTCCAAAGGTTTTACCGACATCAACAGGATTTCGATTTCATTACAATATGATGCCGGATGACCTTATCACGACAACCCATGACTACAATTATAAACAGAGAATCAACAAAAACATCTGCGGCGCGCACCTGGTTACAATTCTCATGTAAATGTGATTTAGGGTGTGGACATCTGAATTTTCTGAAAGACAAGACAATTTTATGACAGAGTCATGAAATTCTGCAACATCCACAGAATGACCTGCGTATAAAAAAAAGTATCACCGCCACTACTCATATGATTCCCCTGCAGAAGAACATGAATACATGTATGCAAGACTAGTTCCATTTTCTGCAAGAAAAGGCTTGCACATCAATGCGTATAATACGGTATTGAAATTGATATGATACACGTACATGTACATAGCCATAGGGGCTCCCGTAAGAAGACCATAGCTCTGTGCGAAACACCCTAGTAAAATAAAATAATAACATGTAGAGTCGCTACATGTAGGCCATCATTTAGGGCATTCCATTGGTGACACAATTATAGGTTCTGATCGGTGGAATATGCTGCCTTCCACTGTTCGCTCTTGTACAGATTATCGCCCATTTGTTCGTTCATGCTTAATCTTTCTAGGGGCTCCCGTCAGAAGACCATAGGTCTGTGGGAAACACCCTAGTAAAATAAATAAAATAAAAATAATACCGGTAATATCCTTTAGCCAAAAAACAAAAGAAATTATAGCAATAAAAACTGCTTTATGGCAGTTTTCTAAAAAAAGTTATTGTGTTCTAGTCCATGGACCCCGTCTAAAAAGTAAGAAATTAACGAAATGTGATAGCCGAAAATTAAAATTTCACACAAAACCTCACAATAATCACACACAGGATGCGAGACAACCTTTTCCCCTCGTGGTCCTCTTTCACATGCAAGCATGTTGGCGCAGTACATGTACTTGTACAAGTACAAGTGTCGGAATAAACAAGACTTAGTGTTGAAAGCCGTACTATTAGATCTTCAAGTGTCGTGATTATTGTGAGGTTTTGTGTGAAATTTTAATTTTCGGCTATCACATTTCGTTAATTTCTTACTTTTTAGACGGGGTCCATGGACTAGAACTAGAACACAATAACTTTTTTTAGAAAACTGCCATAAAGCAGTTTTTATTGCTATAATTATTTCTTGTTTCTATATGCTTGAGTTGTATCTGTCGCGTATCTTTCTTGGCTCGATATGAGTCCGTTTATAGCTGTAGCCATCCTGTCCCAGGGGGTCGCACGGGTTCATGACCTTTACGTTTCCGGCGTTTGTACATTTCTGTTGTACCAGCGCTGCTGCTAATTTGTCGTAGGTTGCGCATATGGCCCTGCATGTGCCGTACGCGCGGCCTTTTCTTTGCTTTTGTATTTGCTGTTTCTCCTTGCTTGGGGGAGTTGTCGTGAGAGAGAAAGAAAGTGAAATGGAAGAAAGAAGTCGTTTGGAGTTTGTCGTAGAACTACTAGAAATAGCATAAGCGGGATTCCGCCACGCAGTTCATATTCGGAACAGTGACCCTGGACGCGATCACAGGCATGCGGAGACGATCTATGAGACCCTTCGTGTGACACACTACCCTGTGGTAAGGGAAACGGTGAAGAATCTCTTCAAACAACAAGTCAACTGTTTGTCCTGCCGGAAGCAGATGCCGATACCTAAAACATCACTTACCAGGAAGACAATTCTTGCCACGTACCCTAATAGCAGGTGGCAGATGGATCTGAAAAAGTTACCAGTGTGCCGAGGGTACAACTATGCATGCAACATAGTTGACGGTTTCAGTCGATTCGCCATGGGTGGACCTATAAAGAACAAGTCAGCAACTTTTTTTTTTTTTTTTTACTATGTTCACATTCCCAGCTCGAAAATAATAAATTATTATTATTATTATTATTATTATTATTATTATTTCACAATCACGATGACATAGTACAGTGCCAATAAGCATGTGATGCGGGCGATTTTAACCAGCCATGGTG